AATTATACGGAAATTTATTATGAATGACTAACATTGTTAGTATTTCACGCTTAAATCAATTTGAGCTTTTTATTTGTTGGAAAGCAAGCTAAAGTAATGACACCTTTTTAAATATTTAAAGAGATTCGGATGCAGAGAATTTATGATGATTCAAATTGAATATTAAGTTGTTAGAATGTTTAATATTTTAGTTTTACATGTCCATTTTCTAAAACTAGTTATTTATTTTGTCTTATCTTTAGATAGTATCTAAGGTTCAAAACACTATATTTTAAGAATTATTACGGCGTAGACTAATTCCAATTAAATTTTTGAGCATTCTTTTCGCAATAAATTGATTGTAGTAGAGTCGATAGCAAGGTGATATTAGGAGAAACTGAATAATATACTCGTATAACCAGTTTCTTATTTCTTCCAAAGCTTAGAACGACTTCATAAACGCAAGCAAGATTCAATTATGTTAACTATGACAGTTTATTTTATGTATTATTGTAGAAAATATGAGTTCCGTAATGCACTAAAAGTTTTTCATCGTGGTAGAGTAAAAATGGGAACTAATCACATTATGCTATTTCCTTTCAACAAGTCGAGTTCGTTAGTTCAGAGGAAGTACCTACGTATATAGCCCTTGGTATATTAGGAAATCAAATATGAATTCAGGCGTATGCATGCGGAAAATAGGCTAGTTGCCTAAAAAAATTTTTTTAGTCCGTAATGTTTAATATCAAAAAATATTGGACACATATATTTTTATTTGTCAATCTAACAAATAATTACATAGTTATGGTGCGTTGAAGTTGCGCACGACGGCACAACGTGCGGCATTTTTAAGAGCCATTTTACATTTTCGTGCGNGATGCAATGGCCACCTCCGTAACAAAACAATAGAACCCTATGGAGTTAAGGCTTGTGTGATGCGCCTTGACGAATATTTCGTATCCAGGGTCCGATGTTGGAGCTGTAAGGGGGCAGATTTTTTTTTCACTATGTGACTGTCTTTATTTTGTACTTAATATATTTTACATATTTTACCTATTCGTGTTTCATTATTTGTATCCAGGGTCCGATGATGGAGCTGTAAGGGGGCAGATTTATTTTTCACTATGTGACTGTCTTTATTTTGTACTTAATATACAGGGTGTTTGGCGCATCGTGTGCCAAAATTATTTGGCGGATAGAATAGGTCATTTCCTATATTTTCAGCCCCCATAACACGTTCCATGCCAGGCGGCTACTTTTATATGAATTTTTTTAGTAATTTAACCAAAATACCCAAATTGCATCATTTAATTTCGATTTAAAAAGAAACTACTAGGCGTAGCCTCAAAGTAAATATTTTGTTTTGACGTGCATTGATGTAGGGTTGCATCAAATCTAAATTTACTGGCAAATATCATCTAGTTTTTTTTTAATTCAGCTTTGAAGTTTTCCGAAAAGTTAAAAATGGACTGAACAATTAAGTTTACATGGCTATAATAAAAAAATTAAAAGAGATAGCGATCTTCAGATTTTATCAAAACTTCTCTAGTCTATCCCCATTCAAACGGTATACTAATCTTGTTTAAATAATAACAAGAACTTCACAAATTCCTTAAATTAGTGCATTGTCTCTACTCGGACTGATATTCAAATTTTGAATTTTGAACTTTGTTTTTACTTTACAATAAGTTCAAAGCAGGTAAAAACTTCACAAAATATTTACTTTGAGGTTACACCTAGTAGTTTTTTTTAAATTGAAATTAAATGATACGATTTGGGTATTTTGGTGAAATTACTAAAAATTAATATAAAAGTAGCCGGCTGGCATGGAACGTGTTATGGGGGCTGAAAATATAGGAAATGACCCATTCTATCCGCCAAATCATTTTGGCACACGATGCGCCAAACACCCTGTATATTTTACATATTATACCTATTCGTGTTTCATTATGAATCGAAATATAAGAGACTTATTAAACTCTATTAAAAATTTAAATTAATTTATCAAGTTTGAATACCTCATTCTACCTTAAAATTAATAACTTAAATCAAGTCTTAATACGGTCACGGCTCAAGATTTTTTTGTCCATTTCAGCGTTCTTTTTACTCTTTTGACGTTGCGTTGACAGCTTTTACCTAAATTCGCGCGGAATATTTTTGTGAAATGGCTCTTAAAGCAAGCGTTGACGTCACGGGCCTCTTCTTATGAACTTTGGGGCGCTTTATCTCTTTAAATTTTCATTAGTTTGAAAAAGTGAAAAATACATGTAGAGTATTTTTTGATAAGTTAACTGACGGACTAATTTAAACTCTTGCTTTTTGACCCAGGCAACATCCCCATTGTCCAAGTCCAAGTGCTAGCCCGCACACCGAAGTATGGGCGACGCAGGGGTGGGGAAAGAAGAAAGTAACCGAGATGGTGTTCACACTACACTCGCGAGCAAAAGTATGGAATCACTTACATGAAGTTGTTTCCACGCGATCTTGTGTACTAACGAATTTGTTAGTAACAAAAAAAGTAGCACCATTTTAAAGATTAAACTTTTTACTTTAAATTGATACCAAATTCATTTAAATCACACCAGTATTTAAAAAGATATCCCGGCTGATGTGAAGAAGTAACGAAAAAGACATGTATCAACTGTTTGATACGTCGCGAGTTGCGGCCTATTTACCCCCCATAAAAGCAAGTGTTTTCGGATTTTTGCTTTCACACGTTGATCCATACACATCTCCGCTTCTTTTGACACTTTACCTGGGATTCTACACCTTCAGAAGCAGCACAAATCGTTGCACTATTGCAAGAAGGGCTCAGCCAGCGGGCTGTCGCACGTCAGCTCCACATAAGCCAGTCCTGGGTTTCGAAAGTTTGAAGACGCTTTCGGGATACCGGTGGCTTTATCCTGAGACCAAGTTCTGAACATTGCCGGTGCACATCGCAGAGGGAAAACCGTTTTTTCATGTCAACTTCTCTACGAAATCGTCATTTGACTGGTATCGACGTCCAGCAAGAGCTCAGAAATGTTCGTAGGATAGCTGTTAGCGAGTGGACAGTTCGTCTAAGATATGAGCAATAAAATGCAAGCGTTGACGTCACGGGCCTCTTCTTATGAACTTTGGGGCGCTTTATCTCTTTAAATTTTCATTAGTTTGAAAAAGTGAAAAATACATGTAGAGTATTTTTTGATAAGTTAACTGACGGACTAATTTAAACTCTTGCTTTTTGACCCAGGCAACATCCCCATTGTCCAAGTCCAAGTGCTAGCCCGCACACCGAAGTATGGGCGACGCAGGGGTGGGGAAAGAAGAAAGTAACCGAGATGGTGTTCACACTACACTCGCGAGCAAAAGTATGGAATCACTTACATGAAGTTGTTTCCACGCGATCTTGTGTACTAACGAATTTGTTAGTAACAAAAAAAGTAGCACCATTTTAAAGATTAAACTTTTTACTTTAAATTGATACCAAATTCATTTAAATCACACCAGTATTTAAAAAGATATCCCGGCTGATGTGAAGAAGTAACGAAAAAGACATGTATCAACTGTTTGATACGTCGCGAGTTGCGGCCTATTTACCCCCCATAAAAGCAAGTGTTTTCGGATTTTTGCTTTCACACGTTGATCCATACACATCTCCGCTTCTTTTGACACTTTACCTGGGATTCTACACCTTCAGAAGCAGCACAAATCGTTGCACTATTGCAAGAAGGGCTCAGCCAGCGGGCTGTCGCACGTCAGCTCCACATAAGCCAGTCCTGGGTTTCGAAAGTTTGAAGACGCTTTCGGGATACCGGTGGCTTTATCCTGAGACCAAGTTCTGAACATTGCCGGTGCACATCGCAGAGGGAAAACCGTTTTTTCATGTCAACTTCTCTACGAAATCGTCATTTGACTGGTATCGACGTCCAGCAAGAGCTCAGAAATGTTCGTAGGATAGCTGTTAGCGAGTGGACAGTTCGTCTAAGATATGAGCAATAAAATTTGACTCCAAAAAGGCCTGCCACAGGCTGGAAACTGACGGCAGGTCACCGACAAGCACGCTTTCAATTAGCTCGCACTCGGAAGGCGAGTAATGGAGGCGAGTTTTGTTCTCCGATGAATGCAGACTGTTTTTGCAGTGCAGCAGTCGAAGAGGTCGGGTCTATAGACGGCCTGGGGAGCGATTTGTGCAGTCCTGCTTCGCTAAAACATTGGCTTATGGGGGTGGCTTGCTCGACTTCCCATCGAGATGTGTAGGAGCAAATTGAAAGCGTGCTTATCGCTGACCTGCCGTCAGTTTCAAGCCTGTGGCAGGCCTTTTTGGAGTCAAATTCTATTGTTTATATCTTAGACGAACTGTCCACTTGCTAACAGCTATCCTACGAACATTTCTGAGCTCTTGCTGGACGTCGATACCAGTCAAATGACGATTTAGTAGAGAAGTTGACATGAAAAAACGGTTTTCCCTCTGCGATGTGCACCGGCAATGTTCAGAACTTGGTCTCAGGATAAAGCCACCGGTATCCCGAAAGCGTCTTCAAACTTTCGAAACCCAGGACTGGCTTATGTGGAGCTGACGTGCGACAGCCCGCTGGCTGAGCCCTTCTTGCAATAGTGCAACGATTTGTGCTGCTTCTGAAGGTGTAGAATCCCAGGTAAAGTGTCAAAAGAAGCGGAGATGTGTATGGATCAACGTGTGAAAGCAAAAATCCGAAAACACTTGCTTTTATGGGGGGTAAATAGGCCGCAACTCGCGACGTATCAAACAGTTGATAAATGTCTTTTTCGTTACTTCTTCACATCAGCCGGGATATCTTTTTAAATACTGGTGTGATTTAAATGAATTTGGTATCAATTTAAAGTTAAAAGTTTAATCTTTAAAATGGTGCTACTTTTTTTGTTACTAACAAATTGGTTAGTACACAAGATCGCTTGGAAACAACTTCATGTAAGTGATTCCATATTTTTGCTCGCAAGTGTATTACGTCTTGGCCAATTTTCCGCATGTGTACTTGCGCCATATAATGCTAAGTACTCACCAGCAGCCGTGCTCGCGATGCACACGGCTAGCGCGAGCAGCGCGCCCGCCGCGCGCCGCTGATCCATCTGCCGCCCGTCTGCAACAAATAAAGAAAACACTTAAATATTGTGTCTTTGTAAGAAAGAAAGAAGTGTTTATTTGAATTATGAATATTAACAAAATATACAAAAAAGACCTCCTATTTACTTCATTGTATAATAATGTGCCAAAAAGACATCCGCGCGCTCTTATTAAACAACTGAAAAAAAGTAGGTAAGTCTTAGTTAAAAATTGGTCTTAGGGTGTATAAAGTTACAAAAGGAAGCTCAAAACCCGAATTAATTCCAAGCATTTAGATTTTAGATAGATAATTATTGATTGAATTTAAAAAATGTAACCTATCTCAGGAAAGGATCTATGACTAAGAACGAGTAGAATAGAGTCTGGAGCGTTGCTTATACGGACCTAAGTTAGCATCGACTGCTTCAAGCAGCGACTAATAGTGAACTACGATATTCTATTCAATGGAATTTAAGAGACCGCTTGCAGACGCGAAAGCTCCGGGCGGTCTGCAAGCGTATGCATGCAGTTGACTATGAATGCGCGAGCGGGCCGTGTAAGTTGGTCAATTATTATACTCGTATACCCGCTGACCGTGTATCGGTGTAGCCTTTAGCGCCGAAAATAGGACACCACTAATTGTATTGGAATTGATATCTTATTCGTTCGATAAAAGAGAGTATCTACGTGTTTAAGTTGCAGTTTCGTACATTTTACTGCAACCCATAATGTAATTATGTACTAAGGTACCTTAAAGATTTCTTGTAACACCGCTGCAACGGTTCATAAAATAAAATAAACTTTATTTCATTTTTGTGTTAGATTTGATATACTTACGTATTTTTTTAAAACCTTATAAACAAAAATTATGTATAAAATATCTTTTAATCTTGTAATAAAACCCAGGACCTATCCACTCGTCCAACCCTTTAACAGTACTACAGCAGATACTCATACATTTCTAATTGATTGAAAATATAATTCAGGATTATTGTTAGCCAAGAACGTATTTTTATTTATCTTGGTCATTTACTGCTGTTTACCTACACAATAGCCTACGCAGTAATAAATCAGCTATCTATCTATCAGCTGCATTAATTTACAACTTAAGAACGATGCACAGACACATAACATATCTGATGTTACATCGCACATAACATCTTCAGTCATAAATAACCGATAAGTATGAAAGTCGCTATCGAGGGAACACTGAAATGCGGTTTCTCGTAGTTATCATTCCCTAGGTCCCGTAAAGATAGTTTAGAGTCAATATAAATTTTAAGTTTTGAAATGCAAACCTGTATTTTCGCTTTAATGGTATAGGGTGAGTTTGTCTTAAGTTTGGTTCATTTGCGGTACGCGTCTACGAGGTGACGGGTCGAACTCCTAATGGGTGCTAGGGGACGCTCATTGATGACTCGCGTGCCTGAGTGCACTGATTAATTCAGACAAACTGTCGCTGTGTGCGTTTCCTTCACGTCGCTCCATATCTACAGTTAAATCAACGCGTTCTTCAAAGCGGATATATCAAATTGTGAGGAACCGTCCCAGCCACACTTATTTTTATTGCCGAGCTTTACTTTCCGCAGACAGTCAATTGAAGCGGTGACTCAATGTAAATCACGCTTTTAAAATAAATCTGATGAAGCGATCGAATCTGAATGCATATAAATTTGATGAAAAGTAGGTGGCTATACGAAAACATAACTGTTCGTTGACTTATGTGGTCTGGGAAGGCAGTGCCTATGCACAGTAAACAATAAGGTCATAAGGTGGCCGTCGCCATATAACGTAGCGTCATGAAGTCCATGAACACGCGCGGTCTGCCTGCGCCGGCGCAGCTAGGAACGCGGAAACGCAAAAATGTGCCTATTTAACTTTGAGTGAATAGCGCCTTTAACAGTCCATTCAGCGGCCGCTGGCACGCGGTCACCATTCAAAACAATGTAGTCAGTTTAAAGGATTTTCAGTGCAGGAAACCTTAAATGTTTCTAGAAACCGCTACGAATATTATGAGTGGCTCGAAGGGACAGCACAGACCTCAATTTCGGGAAAATTATGGGCCTTACTTCGCTCTGCTAACCATTTCTAACATCTGTTGGGAAAATTAATTTAGCCTTACGCTTAAATATTTAGGAGCTTTACTTCAGAAAAAACAAAATACGTTTTGACTGACTTAATTTTAATTATGCTTCAATACCCTGTGATTGAAATATAATTGAACAATTAGCTTTAACTCAGCTAATAAAATATTCATTTTGTTTAGATCGCGAATTATCTTCACTGACTAGCACACAATTCAATTAAAAAGCGATTAGTTGGCAGTTGAGCTAACCAGAAGCATCATAGCGATCATAAACACTGAACACATCCGGGTTTGAACTTAGTTACTGTGTGCTAGTAGAATTATGGTTAGAGTTACTGAAAGAGTCAATACGTACGCAGCGAATTATTGCAAGGCAGGTTTCGTATGCATAAGCCGAGCGTTACCGTGGGAACGCATCCGTCGCGCCACACTCGCATACCTACCTGTAGCACTCTCCTCTCGCACTCACTACCTACTCATTATACACCGCGTACACCTTACACGCATTTTACAACAACCTCTCTCGTCGGCACTACACCACTGGGGAACATTTCCCTATTATTTTTCTTTTGTCTTCACTCATCTATTGTCACTTGTCGCGTCACTAGCACCCATTCAAACGGTATGTTCTCTAAAAACTAAAATCAAAATGTATGCCAAAACAATAAACAACATTTTAAGCAAAAGTCTTAACCCTAAATCTATCCTCGCTTGTTAAATCTTCGTAAATAAATATATATAGAGACGTAACTGCAGGGGTCCCTCCGTCTAGACGCTCTCCGCAAGTCACCTCCGCACTCTGCGGATAGGGTGAGGGTGCACAGAATTCACCACTATCTATTTATTTGCTTTACTAAAATACCACGTGTTCCGGACGTGGAGGGCTATTCGCGTTGTCGCGTCGATAAATTCGCACATTCTCACTTAGGATGTGTTTGACGGGCAATACTTTGTGAAACGCATTTAGCATTGGTCATTTCGTTCCAATGTACCGATGACAGTTGAGCTTGAGTGTTATTGACATTCGGGTGAATCATGGGAATACAAATGAAAATGCAAGATAAAATTTAACCACAGTTATTCACATCAGCCATTAAGTTTGACGATACTTTCATTACATAGATGAAAGACAAAAAGTTATTACCATAAACAAAGTAATGCAGGTTCCGTTTGCAGCATTATGATTAAGTGCCCGATTTAGTTGCGGAGAAGGCCAATTCTTTTAATGTACACAATGGAAGCCCACTTCCCAAGCATAATTTGGCTTACCGTTTGTGCCAGGCCATGTTGTGGCGTAAAAAGTAACAGTTAATCCGATTTAAATAAACCTACATTAGAAATGGACGCGGATGGAAAACCGCAGATGTGTGGGGGCTTTAATTGTTTCCTCGGGACCGAGATATTGTTGAGGAGCGCTGTCATTGTCATTGATCAAAGGCACTTGACGCAGCGAGACGTCGAGGGCCCCGACCCGCTGCGATTCGCGAATTCCGAAGGCAGAACAACGCCCGACATAATTTTGAAATGAAAATGAACTGTCTCCCGCTTACAGAGTGATGGAGCGGAATGGCGGAAGTAATTGTTATTTACATTTTATTGGTTTTAATGGGATATTTCATTTTCAAAGACAAAAAGCAATTAAATTTCAATTATTTTAAATGATGACGAAAGAGACCATTTTATTAATGCTTATGTAGAGGTATAGTTCCTGAAGTAATAAAGTTAGCTAAAGAAACATTAAGCTCTAAGAAGTGTTTGCCTCGCAGCTTGCGACTTGCTCCAAAGTTTTAGCGTATCTTTGTTAATAGATTAATAATAGCAGCAATATAAGGTAAGAGCACGTAAGAGCGTGGGTTAACTTAAAAGCAATTTGGTGCGACAAAATTAGCACACGGTAAGGCGAGTGCATCAGATCGGAAGGGCGCGGGTCGCTGGCCGGCCCGGCGTTGCCCAACACATAATTTCGGAACACTGCAACCGCAGCGAGCATTGACACCAATCTCGAGCATTGGATAACAGACTCAGATATCGGAGCTATTCTTTATGAGCAACCTAGTTTGCAACAGTGCAGTGCAACGGAATGAAACGAGTTGCCGGTAATCATACGTCCTATGACCTATCGCGATGCACAATTGTGCACTCGTATCTAGATTTCGACAGATTTACCACTTGCTTTATCTAATAATGCACATGACCCTTTTGGTCTTTAGCTTACACAAAATTAAGTCAACTATCTTACAAAGCGTGTAAGCGTAAATAAATGCTTATAAAGCGCCATTAGTTAGTAAAAAAGTACCTACATACTTAACGTCTTACGTCCAACGTCTAACGTCCTACTTACTCCAATTATGATTTCAATGTGTGATAGTGAAAAGATTTTGTGATAGGTAATTTCAAGACTAAACATAAACGCGTTAAGCGACATGATTACTGTCAAGTTATACCCAGACAAAATATCATTTACAATCAGACACGCCAATAAAAAACTCGCTTTTCATAGCATGTAGTTCGTAGCGAGTGCGCCAAAACCGCCGTGTCATGGTTTATGTGTTGCGTGCCCATATAAAGTGGCCGCCAGACCGGGCTAAGTATGCTAAGAGGCGCACTAGATGCGAGATGTGATGACCGCGGGTCACCCGACAGGAGACGGCTACGCGGCTCCCGCCTTCGCCACATGCTGCCCGCGTACACCACTTTTATGGTCTCTATAGATAACCATCTCTAAACTTGTCTCCGCTAACTAGCCTCGCAATATAAATGGGATCGATTAGCGAGTTCACACGTTCGCATTTGGAAACTACGAGCGTACTAACATATTCGCGACGAGCGAGCACGCTCGCGCCCTGTGCACAATGCGTTCACGTACCCGTGTCGCGATTATCGGCCGTCGTAAATTACAAGCGATTAGCATTGAGTCGTGGACATGGCGACGGCGAATCGTTATTAGATTC